TAGGGGAAAAAATGGGGGGAAATGGGAATTTTAAGAGGGAAAATAGGGGAAAAAATGGGAATTTTGAGAGGAGAAATGGGGAAAAAATAAGGAAAAAATAGGGGAAAAAATGGGAGTTTTGAGGGGGAAAATGGGGAAAAAAATGGGAATTTTAAGAGGGAAAAATGGGGGAAAAATAAGGAGAAAATGGGGAAAAAAATGGGAATTTTCAGAGAAAAAAATGGGGGAAAAATGGGAATTTTGAGAGGAGAAATGGGGGAAAAATAAGGGAAAAATAGGGGAAAAAATGGGAATTTTGAGAGGAGAAATGGGGAAAAAAATAAGAATATTGAGGGGGAAAATGGGGGAAAAAATGGGAATTTTGAGAGGAAAAATGGGGAAAAAATAAAGGAAAAATGGGGAAAAAATGGGAATTTTGAGAGGAGAAATGGGGGAAAAAAATGGGAATTTTGGGGGGGAAAAAATGGGAATTTTGGGGGGAAAATGGGGAAAAAATGGGAATTTTAAGAGGAAAAAATGGGGAAAAAATAAGGGAGAAATAGGGGAAAAAATGGGAATTTTGAGAGGAGAAATGGGGAAAAAAATGGGAATTTTGGGGGGGAAAATGGGGGAAAAAATGGGAATTTTGAAAGGAAAAAAAGGGGAAAAAATGGGAATTTTGAAAGGAGAAATGGGGAAAAAAATAGGAATTTTGGGGGGGAAAATGGGGAAAAAAATGGGAATTTTCAGAGGAAAAATGGGGAAAAAATAAGGGAGAAATAGGGGAAAAAATGGGAATTTTGGGGGGAAAAATAGGGGGAAAAAATGGGAATTTTGGGGGAAAAATAGGGGAAAAAATGGGGGGAAATGGGAATTTTAAGAGGGAAAATAGGGGAAAAAATGGGAATTTTGAGAGGAGAAATGGGGAAAAAATAAGGAAAAAATAGGGGAAAAAATGGGAGTTTTGAGGGGGAAAATGGGGAAAAAAATGGGAATTTTAAGAGGGAAAAATGGGGGAAAAATAAGGAGAAAATGGGGAAAAAAATGGGAATTTTCAGAGAAAAAAATGGGGGAAAAATGGGAATTTTGAGAGGAGAAATGGGGGAAAAATAAGGGAAAAATAGGGGAAAAATGGGAATTTTGAGAGGAGAAATGGGGAAAAAAATAAGAATATTGAGGGGGAAAATGGGGGAAAAAATGGGAATTTTGAGAGGAAAAATGGGGAAAAAATAAAGGAAAAATGGGGAAAAAATGGGAATTTTGAGAGGAGAAATGGGGGAAAAAAATGGGAATTTTGGGGGGGAAAAAATGGGAATTTTGGGGGGAAAATGGGGAAAAAATGGGAATTTTAAGAGGAAAAAATGGGGAAAAAATAAGGGAAAAATAGGGGAAAAAATGGGAATTTTGAGAGGAGAAATGGGGAAAAAAATGGGAATTTTAAGAGGAAAAATGGGGGAAAAAATGGGAATTTTGGGGGAGAAAATGGGGGGAAAAAATGGGAATTTTAAGAGGAGAAATGGGGAA